CCTTTAACTATTCATACTTACGCTCTTAATCTTATTCGTATAACAATTGGTATCACACTTATCTTTCTTGAGTTGATTATTATGATCTTTTTGCTGTGAAATTTATATTTTCAGAGTGCATATTTGATCTTGCTTAATATGACTCAATTTTATGATTATAATACATCGTAATTGTGTGACATTTGGAAGATGCATTTGTTCCTATATCTTTGAGTTTATTCCTATAATTTTATATTCTCTGTCTCATGCTATATCTCACTCGATGATTAGGTATATATGACCTAGATACTTTGTGTTTATAATTGAATTTTGGAGGGGCATGATTAATTCTCATATATAGCATGCTAGCTATAATTCTTATACATTGTTCATGCATCTTAATGTAAGGACATGTTGTAGCAATTGTCACATGCACTCTTGCCTAATTTTGGATTGGTATCTCTATGACTACTAGCTATGAAATTAGAACATATGTGCATATATATTGTAACCTATTCATTTTATTTGGCTAGTGATCTTAATATATGTTAGCCCATATGTGCATAAATGTTCTTAGTACACTTTAGTCTCCTTTCTTTCTTAATGGTTTTCAAATGACTAGGCGTTGGCTTCTGAGCTTTTGACTTATAATCTTGAATTGCATTTTTGAGGGGGAGCCAAGTCTTGCTTCACTAGGTTACTAATTGTTTTTCTAAGTGCATGCAACCTTGATTTTCATGGATCTCCCTTCTTAGTTATGACAAAAAGGAGGAGAAAACTCGTATTAAAGATTTTGAATAACTTACCATACTTGAAATATATTCTTTATAATCATGCTCCAATAGTCATAATCCCTTGATTGAACAATTTTAAGGCATAAATATCAGACCTTGAAGCAAAGAAGGATGCATAAGAAAAGCTTTCAACTTTAGAAACAAAGAGAAGTTGAGCTTTTACTTTTGTTATGTGAGAAATCAACTATTTTCTATACTTTTTCTCTTTTTCAATTAATCAAGTACATAGGCCATGCAAGAATAGAGGGATTGGGAAACCTTATTAGATTTAAAGAAAACTATTCTTGTGGTATAAGATTGGGTTTATGAGAGATTGTAGTAAGGGTTGAATTGTTAAAAGTGGATAACGCTAACAAAACTATTACAAATGGTTGTCTCTACACTTGAAAGTTGGAAGATAGCTTTTAAATCCAAAACAAACTCTCAACATACAACTTGAGAAGTGGATTAAGTATAAATTGTGATCAAACTACTATAAATCTTTATGTTTGAGCTTTGTTTTCCTTTAACTTTTAATTTGTGTGCTTTAAACTATTTATTTGTAATTGTTTATGAATGTTCATTAGTTCGCACTTAAAAATTATATAAAACTTTTAAAAACCCAATTAAACCCTCTCTTGGGTTGTCATTATCCAAGCTAATAAACACAAATCTCTTTTATTATAAAAAAAGGAAGGATGCATGTTATTAATTTTTTTTAAAGCAATAATTACATTAATTAACGAAAAATTATTAATCCTAAGACTTTGAACCCTCTCATAAAAAATGATATCATTTTACTTTTAAAAGAGAAGTGTGGCCATTTAAGCCAGCCGAGTGATTGGCCATTATTAAATTAATTTGTTCTTTCAGATTATGGTTGTGGTAATTTAGTGCTCCTTTAATGAGGCGTGAAAATGCGTGGGCAGGGAGCCCAAGCATGGAAGATAGAAGCACTGCTGCTGACGTGTAGCGTTCTTCTCATTATGTTATGTGTTACAAGTCCCGTGCAATCGCCCACGGCTGAAAAGATTAGGGATTTTTTTAATAAAAAAATTTAAGTAATAAAATTTAAATTATCATTTATTTGTTATATAAAATTATTAAATTAAATTTTATATAAACATTAAATTAAAACAAATACAGTTGGAGGGAGTATGTTATTATAATTAAAAAAATGATAACTTTACGTAAAAGTATTTTTAAATTTGACCAATAAGAAAAAATATAAAATTATTTATAAAATTATTTAAACATTTTTAATAAATTACTCATGCGCATGCATGTTGATTTATTAATAATATTCAACTCTATTCATTAGCATTCATGCATTTTTTTTCCTTACATGTCATCTTGAAAATCTGCATATTCATGACTATCTGGATTAGTTTTAGGTAATTAAACAAATAAAGGTGTTTAAATTACAAGGGAAAATTAAAAATAAATACTTTCTAACATTTAAAATATTAACACTATTAATAAAATTATTTAAATATTGTTAATATATAATTTTTTTACATTAATTCATTAAGATAAGGGTATTTAATTTTTTTATTATTATTTTTAATATTTTAATTAACATAAAGAACTAACCTTAAATTATAAATAATAATTATTATTAACTTTTTAATATCAATTTTTTTTTTTTGAACATATTTGCAAGGGGCTGGTTTCGAACCCAGCCCGAAAAAAGAAAAATACACCGAGGTAGCTATTGCCACTAGGCCACAAGGGCCAGGTGCAACTTTTTAATATCAATTACTCCATTTGAATAATTAATTTAAATAAAAACTATAAAGTAGTGAAAATTAAGGTAAATTAGATTCCTGGAACATGGCATACTAAAGGAATATCCTTGGATTTTACATTATTAAACAAAAGTATGAATGGCTATTAATCGATGGCCCAAAAAAGGGGGCTAATAACAGCTCCATATATATATATAAGATTTAGCGTCATTGAGCATTGTAGCCCGTGCGTGACTGATGATCTAATGCTGGACTCACGGTTCATGCAATCTAAAGCAGTTAAACAACTCCCGCACGGGAGGAGACTCTATTAATTATTACCACTAAGTCACCACTCATATCACGCATGACGACTGACGAGCAAACAGCGTATGTTCTAAGATGCTCATAATTTTATTGGAAAGTCACGCACATGATTGCAATGTTCAGAATTAAATGCTTCAAAAAGAAAATTCGATATACTTCATTTAATATATTTTTTAACATATATTTATTATAATTTTATTATTAAAATATAATATAAATATAATTAATTCAATTAATTTTTTTCAGCTTATATATAATTATATATATTTTAACATTAGTTGTATAATGTAAAACAACCATATCTCATATCTTATTTCACTCCACTCGCATGCCATGCGATTCAAAGTCAAGATTTTTTGATTTTAACAAAAAAAAAACGACCGTTGAACTATTTAAATCATTGATTAATAATTATATTTTTAAATTTATTTATCTTTAATTTTATATTAAAAAATAATAATCTTTTCAATGAATATATTATATTGTATATTAAATCAAAATGTGTATAAATAATTGTTCTTAAAAAAAAATCTTTAAACTTTACAAATTGTATTTCTTCCTTATTTAGTGGAGAGTAACATGCTTGCAATATTAGGAATTTAAAAAATTCTTCCTTTCAGATATCACTGTTAGGAAAATTTTCCTCCAAGGTGCAACTTGCAAGTAATATTTCTTTGTCTGTGCTTGGTACACAGGTGGTTTCTTCTTTTTTTCCTTCTGTTTTTTTCTTTTTTAATTTTGTCTCACCAAAGGACGCCATATACTGGAATTATGGTATTCATGAAGATCTTTCCTTTGGTCTTTTAAAAAATCACACCGTGATTAATAAAATAAAAAACAAACTTTCTTACTAGCTAGACTATTATTTTTTTAATAGATCAGAAGGTTAATTACTTGATAATATAGAGATTTAAACCTCTAATATTAATTTTAAATTAAAATTTATAAATTAATTAATATCAATTCAGACAAAATGTTGTTCCAAAACTAATATCCTTTTTATGCTGGTGGTGTTGAATTAAAAAATTTGAACTTCACGGCATTTGGGCTGGACTTGTATGAGGATTCTGTTGTGTACTTGTGTTGTACGATATCTGGACCTGAGCCCAAATGAGTGTGCCGAATCATATTTCACAAGACAAAATGACCCAATAGAAAAATGGGCCCGATCACCCAAAAAAGTAAAATGTACGGACAACCAGCCCACATCATAATTGAAGTCCTGCATTTTTTGGTGCTGAGTTGGCGAGTATTAATAGGAGAGACCACATGCTATTGTTTGCGTTCGAAAGCAGAAAATCCCAACTCCACACAAATCCCTTACTTCCCTGCAAACAGAGCATCAGTCGGCTTCCTCCATAGCCGCCGGCACGCACCGTACGAGACGAGAAACGAAAGCTGAAACTCAAAACCTCGAAATCTACGAACTCATAAAAGTCATGTATAGAACTGCAGCCTCACGTCTCAGGGCTCTTAAGGTTAGTGTTGAGATCCAACTCAATCTCTGTGGAAACCCTAGCTTTCTGTTTGTTTCTCTGGAAAATGCAGGATTAAGCTGAGAAAATAAATGAAGGCGAAGGTCTGAATTTGTTTATGATATAGGTGTTATATTATTTTCCGTTGTATTTTCAACATCGCGATTAAGGAACGAATTTTGAAAATCTTGCATTTATGCCCTTTGGTTGGTAGTACATTGATCAAAAGATCTGTTAATTGATATTTAATGTTTTTGAATATTGATATTTGAGATGAGGTTGTGTTTGGTTCGCTGGAAATAATTTCCTAGAAAATATTTTCCCAATTTGCAATAAGGATTCTGAGCGAAACATAACTTGTTTGCTGATTTCATATTTTTGTTCATGATTTTATGTTTTAGTTCTTTTAGTCTAATGCTTGAAAGTTGTGCTTTCTGTATGATTTTATGTGAGCAGGTTCGTGCTGGCAATCTGGCAGCTGTGAGGTATGCCACTTCGAGCACAGTTGCTGCTAGGCCATCCTCATCAGGGTTCTTTAGCCAGCTTTTTGGGGGACAGACTAGTTCTATTCCCCCTTTAGACACACCTTTTGAAGTCCTTTCTGTTCCACCCTCATTACCAGATTATGTTGCACCAAGTGAGACTAAGATTAAAACTCTTGCAAATGGGGTCAAAATAGCCTCAGAGCAATTGCCGGTATTGCATCTTCTGTGCTGTTTGGTTGACCTTGAACTTCTAATTCTCATCATAAAGTGTTTTACTATTTTTTTTTCTCTGTTTACTGTGTCATAATAAGATTTCTTTTGTTGGTTGATCAGAGTCCTGCTGCCTCCATTGGGTTATTTATTGATTCTGGTTCTGTATATGAGAGACCATTATCATGTGGTGCCTCTCACTTGCTGGAACGGATGGCATTCAAGAGCACAACAAATCGGAGCCACTTGCGCATTGTTAGAGAAGTTGAGGCCATTGGAGGTAACACATCAGCCTCAGCCTCTAGGGAGCAGATGGCATACACTGTTGATGCATTAAAGACCTATTTACCTGAAATGGTAGAGTTGCTTGTTGATTGTGTTAGAAACCCTGCTTTCTTGGAGTGGGAAGTTAATGAAGAGGTAACTTATCCTGCAAAACATTTAAAAATCTTTGTAAAACTTTTCCACATTCCTTTTTGTTTGTTGATTTGTGTCTACCACATATGTTCATTGGATGATTAAGAGTGGGACAATTCTAACTCTTTAGCATGCGAAATTTTTAACTTTCTTTAAAATTATCTATTCATTTAATTAACCAATTTGAACTTCTGTATGAAAGTTACGTCTGTTCTAATTATCTGACAAGAACAACAGTTTCATGCTTGGACACAATGGAAGGGTATTGTACATGAAATGTTACAAGAATCCAGAAATACATGTCTAATTTATTATTACATAACTGTCATGTGCATATGTGTGTGTGTGTGTGTGTGTGTTGATTTATGTTCGGTAATGCTCAATTTTAACTGTTTTTTGCATGATTGTAGACAACAAACAGTGAACTAAGTACATTAATCATTAATTATGACAACCTTCTCATGATAAGCATGTGCAGCAGGCTCATAAATATATAAGTTAATTGCATAGAGAAAGTAAATAATAGTAGAGTAATGCTGGAAGGTTTCAGGTTATGAAGAAGATGAGTTTTGTGCCTTGTAATATCCATGTCACCATTTTTTCTATTCGAATACATCTCCTGCAAGGTAGAATTAAGTTGTTTTAAGGATTCACATGGAAAAATTATTACCAAAGCTTCTTTTTCCTAAAATTTGCCTTTTTTGTCAAATTTCCTATGCATTATGATATTAAACAATCATTTTTTGTCTCCCATCTGTTTGATATCAATGACTGTAAACTCATAAACACAATAGCTGTCATGCCTGTTGCTGCGTTCCATGCTAATAGTTGATTCTCATTCTGTGTGTTTCTGCAGTTGCAAAAGGTGAAAGCAGAACTGGGGGAACTTTCAAAAAACCCTCAGGGATTACTCTTGGAGGCAATTCACACAACTGGTTATGCTGGTGCGTTGGCAAATCCTCTCTTGGCTAATGAATCAGCACTGAACATGTTGGACAGTAGCATTTTGGAGGAATTTGTCGCTGTAAGATCAAAACACTCTGACAGTCTGACTTCTATGTTTGCATGAATGCATGTATGCTGTCTGCAAAACACTTGGAATCTTTTGTCAACTGATATGTGTTTCTTCCCTTTCCTGTGCCTGTTTTGCTGACTTCTAATTTGATCATTTTTAGGAAAATTACACTGGTCGTCGCATGGTCCTGGCAGCATCTGGGGTTGACCATGAGGAGCTTTTACAAATAGCTGAGCCACTTCTTTCTGATGTTCCAGCTAGAACATACATGGAAGAGCCTAAATCCGTTTATGTTGGTGGGGATTATCGTCAGAAAGCCGATTCACCTGTGTGTATTCTTGATTAACTCAATTTTGAACTGCGTTTTTCTCTTCTCAGTTCTAAATCACACACATTTGCTGAAAAAGCTGTGTCTTTTGTTTTTGTTTCAAAAGTTCATTGAGAAACTTGTTCCTTGCTTTTGGCCAGAGCACACATTTTGCTCTTGCTTTTGAAGTGCCTGGTGGCTGGAAGAATGAGAAGGAAGCTATTACACTGACAGTTCTTCAGGTACTGCATTTATTTATTTTCTTCTTAATTAATTTGATCCATTTGTCATTTGGAATTCTCTCCTTTTTATGATCCATTGAAAAGCTGTGGGATTTCATTCTCTTATGGTTTCCTTTGTATTGGCCACTTTTTAATATCTTATCTTTCATTAATAATGATATATAATTCTTTCCTGGGGTCTATTAATGACTGTTAATTTCATGCAGATGCTCATGGGAGGAGGTGGCTCCTTTTCAGCAGGTGGTCCAGGGAAAGGGATGCATTCACGGCTATGTAAGTTTTTCTTTTATTTGCTCTACAATTATCTTTGCTTATAATGTTTATGTAATTGTGGTTATGCTTCCTTCATCAACGATTGTATTAATTTATCTCATATACTGGCATATTTTCTTGATCTTCTGGAATTGCACTGGTGTCTAAATATATTTGAAGATGCCAAACTTCTGATTGTGTTTCATCCCCTATCTATTTTGGATGCAGATCTCCGTGTCTTGAATGCGCATCAGGAGATTCAATCATTTTCTGCTTTTAACAGCATCTTCAATAATACTGGCTTGTTTGGCATCTATGGTAGCACTGTAAGGCTCTGAACTGCTATCACTTGTGGTTCTTGCTTATTTGCTGATATAAAAGAAAATTGCTCAGTGACAGATGAACATACTTGTGATTGTCGTTGATTGTCATTTTCCTTATCTGAATGCATTTCATTGGCTTAAATGATTTAATATCATTTTTCCTTATTTCTTGCCACTGTTTATGCTGCATTAAACTTGATGATTCCATGTTTATGAACTCAGAGTGCTGATTTTGCATCAAAAGCAGTGGATTTAGCGGTAGAAGAGTTAGCTCTAGTTGCAAATCCTGGAGCAGGTTTGCTCACTTTTCTCTCTGTGTGTTTCTGTGTGTTTTCTCAGTTAACTATTTTGGTGCAAGTTTTTTTATCCTGTTGTGTGCTAATGTCCTCCTTTTTTTCAATTCATTTTTTCATCCTTTGTTGACACTTCTATTGGTTGCAGTTTCTCAGTTACAGCTTAAGCGTGCAAAGGAGGCTACAAAATCTGCAGTTTTGATGAATCTAGAGTCTAGAGTACTCTCTTTCCCAACCCCATTTTAATCTATTGTATCATACTGGTTATATAGTCTCCCTGTCTCTGTTTCTTTATTTTTGTTACAAAGTCTGTGGTTGTATTTGCAGATGATTGTAGCAGAGGATATAGGAAGACAGATTTTAACATATGGAGAGAGGTATCTATGCAGACAGACTTTTGTTTCCCCCCTCTTAATTTCCAATGCATACAAAACTAAAAGTAAAAAATAAAAAAATTTCCAATGCATACCTGCACAATTATGTTATAATTTATATTTTCCTTGATACGCTTGTGGCATGGTTTATGTGAGATATTTCTCTAAATACTGAATAGAAGAGATATCTTGATGTGTAGAAGTCTGGATAGAGGTCACTATATTTGGCTACTAGTTTTTACAAAAAAAAAAAAAAAAGGAGCTTGCTT